TCTCTCTCTCTCTCTCTCTTACTTTCACAGAATTTGAAAATTTAATGCCATAATTACACATTTCTACGGAGAGACGCCTGGTGGCCGAAATTGTAAGTGATTAGACGGTTTTCTTCTCGGTTTAGTTTGTAAAGTTGATAGTTATGTGTGTCCCCAGCCTTCTATCTTGTGTACTGTCAGCTATTCCTGATGCAGGTGCTCTTCTATATCATGACTCCAAATATGTCAGCATCACTGTTATTCTCATCTGGCCTATCTAACCCTCTGACTTTCCCATGGTCGTAACGTACTTGTGTTTATATCCATCAGTATGCCCATCGACAATAGACAAGATTAAATCAATGGAGGTTGACATGGTAAATAGGACGTATTTGGGATGACCAGCCTAAGTCTGAGCTAAGTAAAAGAGCCAGTCCATGAATATCATCTTAAATGTTCCACAGATGGCAGTCATATATAAAACATAAATATCTATAAAACAGGCGTTTCTGCCATGTCTTTGCCATCGGGGAAAAATGCTCCCTCTGTCTGCCTTTCCCTCCAACCTTCCCTTTGTAACTATGTACTTTTCTCCACCCACGGCACGACAAAAGAATGTAAATTGTCTTTTTCCAATGTGGACATTCGGTTCACTTCGTTGGTTAATGTGCATTAAATCTTTAATACGCTCCCCCCCCCCCCCCCACCGGATTTTTAAACCATATCTTTGCAGTTTCTATGCAATTTTTTTTTGGGAAGGGGGGGGGGGGGGCTGTTGTAATGTCGCAGCTAGACGCTGACCTGCGAATTGGAAGACTGTTGGGATATCGCAGCTAGACGCTGACCTGCGAATTGGAAGACTGTCGTGATGTCGCAGCTAGACGCTGACCTGCGAATTGGAAGACTGTTGGGATGTCGCAGCTAGACGCTGACCTGCGAAATGGATGGAAGACTGTCGTGATGTCGCAGCTAGACGCTGACCTGCGAATTGGAAGACTGTTGTAATGTCGCAGCTAGACGCTCGCCTGCGAATTGGAAGACTGTTGTAATGTTGCAGCTAGACGCTGGCCTGCGAATTGGAAGACTGTCGTGATGTCGCAGCTAGACGCTGACCGGCGAATTGGAAGACTGTCGTGATGTCGCAGCTAGACGCTGGCCTGCGAATTGGAAGACTGTCGTGATGTCGCAGCTAGACGCTGACCTGCGAATTGGGAGACTGTCGTGATGTCGCAGCTAGACGCTCGCCTGCGAATTGGAAGACTGTTGTGATGTCGCAGCTAGACGCTCGCCTGCGAATTGGAAGACTGTTGTGATGTCGCAGCTAGACGCTCGCCTGCGAATTGGAAGGCTGTCGTGATGTCGCAGCTAGACGCTGACCTGCGAATTGGAAGGCTGTTGTAATGTCGCAGCTAGACGCTGACCTGCGAATTGGAAGGCTGTTGTAATGTCGCAGCTAGACGCTGGCCTGCGAATTGGAAGGCGGTGGGTTCAGGTCCTGGTGGAGACGGACTTTCTAGAAAAATGACCTTGATTCTCAGGTTGGCCCAGCCTTGAGTGGGTACCAGGTATAATCCTGGTAAGCAAAGGCAGCCGGCGTGATGTTGACCACATCACCCGCAGAGTGTGGATTCATATATAAAATATAGAATTAGCCCAGTATGCCTGAAGGCGTGGAAATGGCTGCTTGTCTTTTTTTACTTAGTATTTCATCAGTCGACTCACAGTCTTCAGTTTTGTAATCAAGATCCGTTTTGTGTGAATTCCTGGCATAGAGGAGGTGGATAACAGTTGTCACTATTTGAAAAATTCTTTCAAAACTGGTCTCCATTTTAATTATGCTTCTGAAGTTATTGTCGATAGTCGAGGATTCAACTTTACTACACCCCCACCTCCTCCCCACCCCCAAATGCTGTGTTCCTGTGCCAGTGAATATCACACAGATGCTTACACTGTCCCATTTGAAAACTAGTGAACAGATGCTTAGTCTCGGCATAATTGAAAACAATGCACACACACACAGCTAATGCAACATGGCCGCAACTATAGGTGTCAACACCAGAAGTCTGCAACCAGAATTGCAATTTATCATGGATGGAAGTAGTTAACCCGGCCATGGGCACAGTGACTAGAACAACACCCCCATCATCTTAGGGACCATGTTCTCACAATACAAAACATCAACTTGCTGTAAGTATTTATAGAAAAGAGAGTTGTAACTTATATTAATGTACTTCTAGAAAAAAAATATGAACTCAAAATTAAAAATGGTTATTTCAGTTTCACCCTTTCAGTTTACTTACAATGTCCGCCTTTAACAAAATGTATGGCATATCATTAAAGGTTAGGAAAAGAATTTTCTTATGCTATATAGAACCAGATTTGACATAGGGCTGTGACAAGTAACTATTAGCCATCGGACGTTGGGGTTCATACTGAGGGGAGGATCTGAGCACCTATGGACATGTCCGGAGTGCAATGATGATAACCCAACTAACTAACTAACTAATCCTGGACAAGTAATAAACAAATCACACACTTTCTTGAGGCCTCAATGTTTTTTTTTTTTTTTTACAGAAGAATCGTTACAATTTCTTGGACGGTAAAAAAAGAACCCAGTTTTGAAGAGGCAAGTTTTCGAAGATTATATATCACAAACATCTAAAGAGACAGTCGCCTAAAAATGTTGTGACAACTGGAAAGGTTTGTGGAAAAGAGTCAGAAATGTCAACTCTTGACAGCCTTTGGTGATGGCGTGGATGAATGTCAACAAATGAACAGATACTTGCTGAAGTCTGCAGATTGGGGAGAGGCATGATCGCCCAAGCCTGTCGTCAAGACACTTGATTATGAAGATATATCATACTGTACAAGAATGCACCACTATACTACGTACCAATGTAGGACATTATGTCACGCTAGTTGTTATCTGTTATCACCAGTTGCCAAATTGGTTGCTGCAAGTAATTTTTATCAAACACTTATTTGGCAGTAAATGAATACACTTTGGTTTGATAATTTAAAGGGCCATTAACTATTTCAGTACTGGGCTGTTGTACCTTGAATGGCTCTATCGAAAACAATTGGTAATTTAGACCAGTCTTCTCATGTGGTAGTCAGTGAAACCCCTGGGAGTCTGCGGTACAAATATAATGGGTCCATGCTGTAAAAAGTGAAGGTCCATTTACAGTGGTCCATCAGGCATATAAGGCTGGACTCATTTCTATACGCTAGTTTGGAGGGGGAAAGGGGGGGGGTGAAGTCAACATCGCGCCGGCCATCTTTATTTCCCAGGACTCCCATTTAAGGCTGGGTCGACCTGGGAGCCAAAGTCGGGAACGAGAAAATTACGCCTGCATGCGGATTTGAACCCACGATTTTCCGATTCGCAGTCGAGCGTCTAGCCGCTACACCACAGCGGCTTTATCGGTCGGTCCAAGCCGCTGTCATTTACCAAAACACGCACACAACACACACAAGCCAAATCTTTACTCGGGACACTCCCATAAGCGCTCCGTCTCCATCTTCGGCAGCAAGCGAAGAGTTTCTAATCAGCGGCACCAGTAACTGTATATCCGTCTCGCCTTTCTGTTGAGTGTTAAACGTCAGCCAGATCCCTGGTGACTCCTCGCAGCGCCATTCTACTCAAACCGTAATGAACTGTTTGTTCCTCCGCACTGTTTAATCGCTCCCCATTGTATCACCAATTTGTGCAGACCAGCCAGTCTATTTGCCTGTTAATTTCCTAATTTACCTGCCTATCCTAGGGAAAATATCAAAGGGACGCTAACTACCCGGGACCTAGGACGCGATGCTTGCCGCTCTTCACTGAGGATACCAGTCTCCTCCTTTCTCAACATACTCTGTGAGTCGGTTATGATTGCGGCGTGTGTACAGCTGATTCTCAAGCTAGTGAAAGGCTGCTGTGACTGCCTCCACCTTGATTCTCAAACTAGTTGTGGTATCATATGCGAGGTTTTGTTGCACTAAGCATCGTCCATTCACTTTTGTTTTAAAAAAACAACCAAGTGCTTCATCTGCCTCTAAAGTCTTCGCTACCCCTTTCTGGGATGCAATTTTTCGTTACTTTGAAGCCCCACCCTGGCTGTTGCCGAGGGCCACAGCAATATAGCCTGACAGTTGAGCACGGTTTCCGAGACCTCTCACCGAGTCTGATCTTACACAACTGACTTTTGCTGGGACATTCTGACCCACTCCTCTCCTCGCCCAAAGTTATCAAGCCTACACACATGTCTGGCGTGATACTGACCACATCACCCGTCTTGTGCCGACTGGTCTATAAAATATAGGTCTAGCTCTGTGTGCCCTATACGCCTAAATGCGTGGAAAAGGGTCCTTTACTTACACATGTCTAATTGTGTCTTTAGCCTGCGCAACCCCAAACCGTCCTCTTTTCAGTCTTGGACCCTTAGCTCTGTCTATGGCTACATGCAGGAGGTGTAAAGTAATAATTCTACTTAACAAAATAAGGTATTGTAACTCACTAACGGAATTAAATGTAAAAGGTCATGCCCCACGGCTTTAGGCACATAGGGCTAGACCTATATTTTATAGATCAGTCGGCACTCGAATGGAGACGTGGTGCACATCACGCCAGCCGCCTTGACTTCCTAGGACTTTATCTGGTACTCATCTAAGGCTGTCGGCCTGGAAGCCAAGGCTGTTTTTTTTTATACTTAAAAAGTCAGGACCCGAACCCAAGATCTTTGGATCCTCAGGCAAGTGTCTAGCCGCTACACCAAGGCGGCTCCGCAGGATGAAATGTGGTTGACATAATTACTGCACAAGACACAAGCCGTTACGAAAACCTATCAAGAACCTGGCCAGTTTCTATTTAAGTTTTTCACTTGAGTAGCCGAACTGTATCCAGTATAGCTAATGAAAACACTTGCTTTTGGGACCAAATCCGATAACAAACCAGGTCTCGTCTGTTCGTTTATCTGATAAACCCGAAATATCATACAATTGAAATTAATAACTGCATATGGTCTTCAGTGT